TAAATGCACGCGTATGGCAATGGATTTTTAGACATCATGTTCTGAAGCACCTGCCTGTGAACGTTTCTGGCCTTCGGTGAACAGGGGCGAGAAAGCAATTTATCCTCTGCAGTTTTACGCAGACCTGGATGTATTTTTAGGCTGTTTCACAATGAGTAGCCCGCTGGCAGCTGGGTGGGGACTGGAAGCCGCGGGCTGGCGATGAATGGGCAGAGGCAGGCGCTCGCAGGATCGGGGCTGCGGTGCGTGCGCCGCCGCTGCTGCTGCCCCCGGCGGCTCCGAGCCGCGCCGCTGGAGCCCCGGCTCCTCGGGAATGCTGGGAATGTTGAGTCAGGGACCGGCAGCCCAGACAGCCGGGCTCGCAGCTGACTGAGGGAGACTCGCTGAGGGACGGAAAGACGAGGGACAGGGGCACGCGAGCCCCCCCCGACCGCAGCAGGTTCCTTCTCTTCAGCCCCTGGCAGAATTCCGCGGCTACGGCTCTCCCTGCTGCCGCCTTCCTCCGCGCAAACGGGATGCCAGCTAAACGTGATGTTGTAAAATCCATGTGAGGACGAAAGGCAGATGCAATGATTTGAAAGGTGAGAAGATTAAACAAGAATATGGCTGGGATGCATGACTGTAAATTTACTGTGATCAGGGAAATGCTGGATATTGCTTTTTACAACTGTCTGATAGCTGAATCTGGAGATGAATTTGCAGAATAGGCTTTTTATATTGCTTTGGAAATACAATGTAATAAATGGGACCAAGTGCACATCTTATTCTGGGAACAGAGTGCCTCTCCCTACAGAATCGTCAACCAGAAACCTCTCTTGCAATTTCTATTAAAAACAGCCATATGAGTCTATTTTTAATACGTTTTAAATTTTTTTTTGGTGCCTAGTGTTTAAAAATATTATTGTTGTTAAAGTTTTCTAGAATAGAAGAGATGACTTGTGGAAATTCCTAGCTTTAGACCTAAATAATGGATAATGTTTGGTGTTTTAAAAACCGTGTCAGGAAAAAAGGTGAGAGATTTCTGCTCCCTTCTAGTGGCTGGCAAATGGAAACAGATGCTAACAGGGTATTATTTTTCAGTTATATAATTAATGACTACTTACTGGGGTCCCTCATTTATGATACTGGGGTTTATTTTTTTTTTTTTTTTTTTTAAGAAAAGATAATTTTAGGTTGGACAAGTGATAGATGTGATGAAATCCACGCCTGTGTTTACCAAGGATACATAGATATTTTTCTGGGAGCACTACAGTAGTAATTTGATAGAGAAGGATTTTTTTTTTTTTTAATCAGTGTGTGATTGATTTCTAGGCGGCTACCTGCTAAGCCTTGTGATGGATGGATGGATGGGAATCTATTCCCTTAGCGGCGAATTGCTCTTCCCCTGATGATGGACACGCCGGCCGACCACTGGCATTGGCAGACACGAGCTCGTTGCACACGAGCGCGGCCAATAAGTGCAGCCAAGGGGAGGGCAAATCCTACTTGCCAGGGTTAGTTTTCTGCTCGGCTTTCTAAATCAGTGGTTTCACTCAGCTGTTGTCGTTCGGGATTTGTTTTTATTTCCATCCCTGTACCTCCATCCTCACNATATTTTTCTGGGAGCACTACAGTAGTAATTTGATAGAGAAGGATTTTTTTTTTTTTTAATCAGTGTGTGATTGATTTCTAGGCGGCTACCTGCTAAGCCTTGTGATGGATGGATGGATGGGAATCTATTCCCTTAGCGGCGAATTGCTCTTCCCCTGATGATGGACACGCCGGCCGACCACTGGCATTGGCAGACACGAGCTCGTTGCACACGAGCGCGGCCAATAAGTGCAGCCAAGGGGAGGGCAAATCCTACTTGCCAGGGTTAGTTTTCTGCTCGGCTTTCTAAATCAGTGGTTTCACTCAGCTGTTGTCGTTCGGGATTTGTTTTTATTTCCATCCCTGTACCTCCATCCTCACCTGCGTGCCCAGGGCGGCCGCCTCGAACGCGGCCCCTTCCCGGCAGCCGCGCCCGGCGCAGGCCCCGCTCCGGCTCCCCCTCCTCGGAGGGCGGGCAAGGGAGGGAGGCACCTCTCCATCAACTCGCTTCGCCCCTGGCGCTTGGTTTCCCCGTCGCCAAGCCGAGGACGGAGCGGATCCCCCGTGTCAGCCCCGCCGCCCTGCCCTGAGGGGAGATGCTGGGGATGCGCTGCCGCTCTCCTCCCTGCCTTCCTCCCTCCCCCGGGAATGGCAGAGCTGCACAGCCTGGATGGGGGCGCGGGGAGAGCCCTCCTGCGGCCCTTTCCCGGCCCCGGGCCGGGGGCACCCTCGGGCCGTGCCCTTTCCCGGCCCCGGGCCGGGGGCACCCTCGGGCTGTGCCCTCCCAGCCCCGGGCCGGGGGCACCCTCGGGCTGTGCCCTCCCAGCCCCGGGCCGGGCGCACCCTCGGGCCGTGCCCTCCCGGCTCCTGCTCGGCGGGGCTGCGGGAGCCCGGCCGCCTCGCCCGCCCGGCTCCGAGAGGTGTCAGGGCTGCGCGTCCCCACGGGGACCCCAGACCAATCCCTCTGCCTCGGACAGTCCCCGTGGAAGGGCGGGGGATGCCGACGCTCCCACAGCCCAGGTGAAGGAAACGCCAGCCACAGAACCCCACCGTCAGCCAAGCAGGCGAAGCTCCCTCAGCCGCAGTCCCCTCACGGTCGCATGTGCTGGAGCTGTGCACTCCCCGTTAGTTTCTTTCCCCCAGCAGCAGGAGGAAAAGGGTCCTTTTCTTTAAGCGTCTGTTTCTGCACACGCAGAGGGTGTAATGGTATATCCAGGTCCCTTAAGGAGGATGTTTGTGGGAAAAGCTTTCTTAGTTTCTTGATGGAAGAAACGTACGGTCCAAGCCTTGGCTTTGTGTGTGACCGTGTTAAGGGCTGTGTGTGAAAGGGCCTCCCCATCTCCTCAGTGCCTTAAAGGAAGCATTTTAACTGCTGTTATTTTTGTTTGAAAGCTCTGTGTAAAATGGCTTTCAAAGGCATCAAGGTGAGTTAGCATTTTCACTTTTCCTAGAGGAATCTGGGAGGAAGGAGAGACTGTCTGTCCAGTGAGTGAAGGGAACATAATTTCTTCTTCCAAAGGCTCACTGAGATAAGGGCCGTCCCTGGGGTTTATGGCTGTCCAGCTCAGGTTGAAACTACACCTTTGAACTATGGAGAAACCCCATCCTGTGTTTTATGAGAACACCCAGGGTGGGGTAAATCTTCCACTTAAGAACCGAGAAATGTCTTGGTTAGTGTTTGAGTGCCTTATTATATTCATTATCCTTGCTCTTGTGGTTTGCCAGCATTTGGAGGACACCCATCTTGCTGCCTCTTATCCTGTGGTGGTTCTTCAGCTCCTCTAATCTACTGCTAGTCAAATTCTGGTGGATGGTAGCGTGAGATCCATTGTCCATGCCGGTCCCTCCTGCTATTCCTTGCCTGCTCTGAAGGCTGTAGAAAGGTGTGGGCCTTATTCTTAGCAGCCAAATACCAAAAGAGCACATGCAACTATTTTAGAATGTCAAATACGTGTGATACTTAGAGAATTATCTATTCAGCATGTGTTTTTGTAGAAGCGTGTTCAAGGTGATATTTTTTTCTTTTGCTTTAGAAAGATGATTGTTACTGACCTTTGAAGGATGACTAAGAAAAAAGAGTGGGTTGTTCACCCCTCAAAGAGAGTGAGGCAACCAGCCTGTGTATCACTACCAAAGACCACATATGTTCCCCCACCTGTATCTCTTAGGGTGTTTATTATATTTTTATCCACTATGATGCATTTGTTATCATCTGTTTAATTTAGTTTTTAATGCCTGGGAGATATATATATGGAGGATCTTAGTTAAATCCACCTAGAAAATATTACTCTGATACAGATTTTTTTTTTTAAATTATTATGTGACCCCTCTTTGCTGTGATATTTTATTTGTTTTAGGATTGTGTTAAATTATTTCTGTGATGTAAGTCTTAGTTTTTGAATGATCTCATATGTGCTCAGCAATGATGAGCTTGCCTCTATTTATATTTTGCAACACTAACACTAGCTTATATTTTCTGTTAAGTCCTGGCAAAAGGGTAAGAGCTATTTGAAAGTAAACTGACTTTGTAATTTCTTTTTCAGGGTTATAGTTGAAAATAAATTCTGAAAATGAACTGTGTAGTGCTGCTTCTTCTGAGTGGTACTTTGACATTAAGGAAATACAAAGACATATCAGCAGAATCATCAGTGAAATGTTGCTCTGGAGTATTTTGGTTTTAGTCCCTTTTTAAAGATGTAAAGTATTTTATAGAAAGAAACAATATTTTACAGTCTTTCTGAAACCAAGTGAAATAGACTTATGTTGGTTTGTTACTGCTTGTATGTAAGATGCAAAAAACCCCCACCTGTTTGCTTGGAAAGCAGGAGTTGACTACTTGTGCAGGTCCAAGGGCTTTTGTAAGCACGGATATCCAATGTTTGTGTGAGAAAATGTGGGTGTCTGATGAATTAGCATTGTGGAATTTAAATTTTGTCATTGCTTTCTTGGCAGTTGATTTCAGGGATTTTTACCATTAATTTAATGATTTTAGAATCCCAGTTTTGGAATATCTTAAATAGTCAGATTTTGTTTTGAAGTAATGGCAACAATTAGGAACCACATCTCCTTTCAGGGACAGTGTCTCAGGTGCTGAGCTCTGCCAAAAGAGAGAGGAGGAGCAAAGGTGTTTTAGCACTTCTCTAGATAAGGCACCATTACTGCTACACCATTTCTATTCACAGAAACTTGGAATTCCTTCACGATATTAGAAATTTAGACTTTGCAATGGTCAGGTGATGTGCTGTCCCTTTACTTTAAAATGGGAATAGTGAGGGAGATGGGTAGAGTTGGGGACTTCTGTGCTTCTAGGAAAGCAGAAGAATGTGTCTAAGAATTTGAGGTGTATGTCGATTTCAAGCTGTGACTGGGTGTGTGAGAGTCTTTAACATTTTGGATGTTTAGCAAAGCTGGAGCTTTTCTGTGAAACTTTAGGTTTTTGAAAGGTGATACTTGGTTTCTAGACTGTCTTGTGGACTGGCATTCACTGGAAATGTTTCAGTTACCATGTGTACCATGTGGCTTCTTTAATAGTCACTGTACTTTTTATTTGGTTGGAATACTCCACTTGCAGTAAATACTGTTTTTTTTTTTTTAAATACTCCTCACTGTTTGTCCTGCTCATTATCCTATTCCTCTAACTGAAGTCACAGTGCAGATGTAGAATCTAGCAGCGAAATTCTACGAAAATTGAAAACTGAGAGGTTTTCGAAAGTGATTAAACTCTCATTGTGTGAGAAATGACATGGGACATTGAATAGAGGAAATGAATAGATGAAAGTGGTGTTTATATATATAAATATAAATATATTGTGTAGGTATGTGTTGAAATGATACACTGTAGTTTCAGGAAGTACTGTGGAGCTGGGCTGGGAAACCACTGGAGAAAGCATTGTTTACTTGGATACAATGTGCAATTTATTTTGAAGGAAGTGAAAGAAATGTAACAAAAATCTCTGCCATTTCTGAATTTAGTCCAAAAGTGCATTTTGCAAAGAGCATTGGTAATGTGTGG